TTTGCCCCCGATACTCCTCACTGGCTGACTGCTGCTTCCTCCGTGCACACCGGCACCACTACTGGCCGTGGTGGTAGGCTGCAGTGGAGCTGGTGCTCTACTCCGTGGCCGTTTGGCTCCACTGACACTGCTGCGACCCTGCTGCTGTCTCCTGGGCAACCCACCGACTGTTTTGCTCGCTGCCAAGCTGCCACCCTCTTCTCCTGATGATGCGGAAGAAATTGCCTGATGACGACGAGGCTGCCAAGTGCGATCAACCTCCTCATCATCAAGTAGGGTCTCCGCCTCACTACTAGCCCCCTCGGCTGCGTCTGGGTCAGGAGACAGACCTGTCTCTAGACCGGCTACCGAGCCACTCTCCTCGCCACTACTTCTTCGCCTGGCTGCTGAAAAGGCGGATGTCTCCCCCCGTTCCTGACCGCCCTCTGTTAGCTCTTCCTCACTGTACAGTGGGGCTGAGCCCACAGCATGCGATACTTCGCTTGGTGAGGGAACACCAAAGGACAGGGGCAGGTAGAGGACACGTGATTTCAGTGGGCTTGGTCCCGGGCCATGCCAACTAACGGTTGTGTCTGACGTACCCACCGACCGTTGGCTGTAGGTGTCAGAGGTGACCTGGGAAGAGGAAGACGACCGAGCCAACCAATCGACGACGGCAGGGTTGTCGGTGGAGACACGACCGCTGGATGACACCGGGAGCACTGGCCTCTGGCTGCGAATAGTGCTGCCTCGACCCCCTTCCTCTGCTGCCACGTCTGCTCGCTCCTAAAACATTGCCTCCTCTGCCACTCCTCTGCATGTTGTCTGACATACTCTTTAATTTAATTAGTAACGATTCTGTGTCCCTGAGTAACAATTCTGTGTCCAGTTGAGTGAGTAACAATTCTGTGTCTGTGCGAGTAACAATTCTGTGGCCCTAAGTAACAATTCTTCTGTGGCCCCTCAGTAACAATTCTGTGTCCCTGATTAACAATTCTTCTCTGTTTCTGTGGCCCCAAGTAACAATTCTGTGGCCCTCAGTAACAATTCTGTGTCTGTGCGAGTAACAATTCTGTCTGTGCCCTGAGTAACAATTTCTGTGGCCCTAAGTAAAGTTTCTGTGGCCCTAAGTAACAATTCTCTGGCACTCAGTAACAAATTCTGTCTGTCCCTGAGTAACAATTCTCTGGCACTCAGTAACAATTCTGTGTCTGTCCCTGAGTAAAAATTCTGTGGCCCCCTAAAAGTAACAGTTTCTGTGGCCCTGAGTAACAATTCTCTGGCACTCAGTAACAATTCTGTGTCTGTAAAGTTTCTGAGTAACAATTCTCTGGCACTAAGTAACAATTCTGTCTGTCCCTGAGTAACAATTCTCTGGCACTCAGTAACAATTCTGTGTCCCTGAGTAACAATTCTCTGGCACTCAGTAACAAGTCTTCTGTCCCCTGAGTAACAATTCTCTGGCACTAAGTAACAATTCTGTGTCCCTGAGTAACAATTCTCTGGCACTCCAGTAACAATTCTGTCTGTCCCTGAGTAACAATTTCTGCACTGTAACATTCTGTCCCTGAGTAACAATTCTGTCTGTCCCTGAGTAAACAATTCTGTGGCCCTAAGTAACAGTTTCTGTGGCCCTGAGTAACAATTCTCTGGCACTCCGTAAGTTTCTGTCTGTCCCTGAGTAACAATTCTCTGGCACTCAGTAACAATTCTGTCTGTCCCTGAGTAAAAATTCTGTGGCCCTAATTAAGTTTCTGTGGCCCTAAGTAACAATTCTCTGGCACTCAGTAACAATTCTGTCTGTCCCTGAGTAACAATTCTCTGGCACTCGTAACAATTCTGTCTGTAAGTAACAATTCTCTGGCACTCAGTAACAATTCTGTCTGTCCCTGAGTAAAAATTCTGTGGCCCTAATTAAAGTTTCTGTGGCCCTAAGTAACAATTCTCTGGCACTCAGTAACAATTCTGTCTGTCCCTGAGAGTAACAATTCTCTCTGGCACTCCGTAACAATTCTGTCTGTCCCTGAGTAACAATTCTCTGGCACTCAGTAACAATTCTGTCTGTCCCTGAGTAAAATTCTGTGGCCCTAAGTAAAGTTTTCTGTGGCCCTGAGTAACAATTCTCTGGCACTCAGTAACAATTCTGTCTGTCCCTGAGTAAAAATTCTCTGGCACTCAGTAACAATTCTGTCTGTCCCTGAGTAACAATTCTCTGGCACTCAGTAACAATTCTGTCTGTCCCTGAGTAAAAATTCTGTGGCCCTAAGTAAAGTTTCTGTGGCCCTAAGTAACAATTCTCTGGCACTCAGTAACAATTCTGTCTGTCCCTGAGTAACAATTCTCTGGCACTCCAGTAACAATTCTGTCTGTCCCTGAGTAACAATTCTCTGGCACTCAGTAACAATTCTGTCTGTCCCTGAGTAAAATTCTGTGGCCCCTAAGTAAAGTTTCTGTGGCCCTAAGTAACAATTCTCTGGCACTCAGTAACAATTCTGTCTGTCCCTGAGTAACAATTCTCTGGCACTCAGTAACAATTCTGTCTGTCCCTGAGTAAAAATTCTGTGGCCCTAAGTAAAGTTTCTGGGGCCCTGAGTAACAATTATCTGGCACTCAGTAACAATTCTGTCTGTCCCTGAGTAACAATTCTCTGGCACTCAGTAACAATTCTGTCTGTCCCTGAGTAACAATTCTCTGGCACTCAGTAACAATTCTGTCTGTCCCTGAGTAAAAATTCTGTGGCCCTAAGTAAAGTTTCTGTGGCCCTGAGTAACAATTCTCTGGCACTCCGTAACAATTCTGTCTGTCCCTGAGTAACAATTCTCTGGCACTCAGTAACAATTCTGTCTGTCCCTGAGTAAAAATTCTGTGGCCCTAAAAAGTTTCTGTGGCCCTAAGTAACAATTCTCTGGCACTCAGTAACAATTCTGTCTGTCCCTGAGTAACAATTCTCTGGCACTCAGTAACAATTCTGTCTGTCCCTGAGTAACAATTCTCTGGCACTCAGTAACAATTCTGTCTGTCCCTGAGTAAAAATTCTGTGGCCCTAATTAAAGTTTCTGTGGCCCTAAGTAACAATTCTCTGGCACTCAGTAACAATTCTGTCTGTCCCTGAGTAACAATTCTCTGGCACTCAGTAACAATTCTGTCTGTCCCTGAGTAAAAATTCTGTGGCCCTAATTAACAGTTTCTGTGGCCCTAAGTAACAATTCTCTGGCACTCAGTAACAATTC